GGTAGGGTCCCTTGGGGTGGCCTGTGGAGATTGCACTATACGTGCGCGCCCACACGTGGTATTTTGTGGAAGAGCCACACTCAAGGGGCCAAAGAGCCGCATGTGGCTCGTGAGCCGCGGTTTGCCGACCACTGCCCCAGCCGGTTTGGCTCAGTGGATAGAGTGTCAGCCCACCCTCAGATTGAAGAATCCTGGGCTCAATTCCAGACAGGCTTGATCCCCAGCCCTGGTCGGGGCCCATGTGGGAGGCAACCAATTGATGTGTCTCTCTCACATCAATGTTTCTCTCTCTGTCTCTCTCCTCCTCCCTTCCCCTCTACGATTAACATTTGAAGGCAACATCTTGGAAAACACAACTTGCAAGACTTTAATTATAAATGTGTGCAACAGAAGGGAGAAAAAACAACATGGTTTTCAGTTTTAAATTTTATTAAAGTACAGAGTTAAGTTTTGAGTTTTCTACATAGGAAAAGACTGGTCAACTTCAGACGCTTCATAGAAAAATTAGCATTCAAAAAACAAATATAAATCCATAGTTGCCTTTGTGACTAAAGGGGGGAAATCTTTAAAAGTTACCAAAACTCTAATCATATCTGAGACCATTATAAATTTCAGAGTAGATTTACCACATATATTACATTTTTAAAATTCTAATACTGTAAAACATAACCACATAATTTGGCTATAGCTAATTATTTCAGAAAAGTTTAAAAAATTAACAAAGTTATGACTATAAAATTTTTGTAGAATTTTCTTTGTAAAGTAAAAAAAAACCCTTAAATCTTTAATTAATGAAAACAAAACAATCTCTTAAATTTCTTATAAATAGCTCTCAAGACATATATTACACATCTGCTTTCCTTACCTGAGAGGATTTCCCAGGATCCTTCACACCAAAGGATTACCTTCAAGAATTCTTCCATAACTTTACTCACATATATATCATTAAACTCCTATAGAAGTGAATTTGGATATATGTATTCTTAATCCACCCTTCCTCAATTAAGATTTTGCTGAAAGAATTTTACTTTAAAACAAAACAAAAGATGCCTCTTTGGTAAAATGAACATCTCTACAAATGATTTACTGAGGAAGAAAAAAGAGAAAGATCTTGAAAATGTCGAGCATTAGTTCCAAAGATCTGTGTAAATAAATAGCTCTCCGACCAAATTAAGTAGATCTAACCTTAGAGAGCCCATCTCTGCCTGAAATGCAACACTGTATTAAAACGTCTGAGTCTTGCCCAGCCGGTATGGTTGAGCGCTGACCTATGAACCAGAAGGTCATGGTTTGGTCAGGGCACATGCCCGGGTTGAAGGCTCGATCACAGTTAGGGGACATGCAGGAGGCAGATTCTCATCAATGTTTCTCTCTCTCTCTCTCTCTCTCTCTTTCTCTCTCTCTCTCTCCCCCTTCCTCTCTGAAATCAATAAAAAAAATATTTTTAAAAAGTAAAAAATAAAACGTCTGAGTCTTTACAACTGTATTAAAGATGGCAGGAAACATGATGGCCTTAAGAACAAAGCCATAGGGAGTTAGTGCTATTGGCAAATTAAGAAGGATGTCCTACAGAGAACTGCGTGGCTACTGCACTTTCCCTGGTTGAAGAAAGAAGGCCCAATGTTCTCTCTGTGCAAACAGGGTCTCAGCCCAAGGGCACCCCTTCTTAGTTTCAGGATAAACCCTCTTTCCTTTCCAAGAGGGGCAGGACACGCATGCACAGCAAACTGAGAGGCTATTCAGAAAGGCAGTCAAGGGAGAAAAAAGCCCAGGTAGCTTAAATGCAGGCTCTGAATTCCCTTTTTATAGGTAATATGAAGCACCAATGGTAGTAAACTTCTGGCCAAAATTAAGCACATAATTTAAATTTTTTTGTTAATCCTCATAGAGGATATTTTTCCATTGATTTTTAGAGAGAGTGGAGGGGAGGAGAGACAGAGACAGAGACACATCGATGTGAAAGATACATCAATTGGTTGTCTCTCACACATCCCCCAACCAGGGCCAGGTATTGAGCCTGCAACCGAGGTATGTGACCTTGACCAGAATCAAACCTGGGACTCTTCAGTCCGTGAGCTAACATTCTATCCACTGAGCCAAACCAGCTGGGGCAACACATAATTTTTCAAAGCCATATTAAAAAGGCAGAGGGTGACAAATGGGTGGGTGGAACTAGCACTAAATAGAGGTCACCCATAATGAAGAAACTTCTGAGGAACTAAAACGAAACACTTTGGTGTGGGAGCCCCCCTGCTGGCCATTCCTGACGGGCACCAGAGCCCAGGTCCCCAGTAACCTCACTCTCCCACAGCCACAGGAACACAGTCCCTTACACCACCAAGGAGCTCCAAATATCTCTGGCAACCAATTCCTTCAAGCCATTTCCCAAGAAACTGTGAGAATAAAACCAAGACAAAAGCAAGACCCAGTAAGGACAAAGTAGGGTGTCCGAAAGCTTTGATAGAAAAGTCTCTGGCGTTCTGTCAGGTGACATGTCTGGATATACAGCAACACTCGAAAAAGAGCCCCTCCCCCGCTCAGTCTTTTTACTCATGGAAATGAAGGGGAAATGTCCCACATTGGATGAATAGCACAGAGGAAACAGAGTTTTTAAAACTTTTTGGGCTTTCATCACTAAAGGAATCTGACCAGCAGCTTCTAGGGATGCACTTTTTAAATTATGTACAAAAAGTTGTAGGAAGCAAAAGTCTATTAGTAAAAAAAGAATTTACCCAATGAACACCATTGTTACAGCAATTCAAAGCAATTGGCAAAATTTTTCCAGTTTCTTAAATCATGATAGCACAAAAACATAGGCTTCTTTAAACCTATATTTGAATGTTGACTCATCACCTGAGTATTGTTTATTACAATGAATAATCATGAAAGTCAACTTAATTTATATGCCCACAGTTCTCAGAGTACATCCACAGCTCTCTTGATCATTCAAATACACTTGCTTAAATTTTCAGTTGAGAACAAAAAACCAGATGACTGTAATCATGCCTCTTGTGTCAGACCAAATTTCAGAAAGGAACTACAGGCCACAAACCAAGTCTTAAGCATCTGGAAACGGCGGGTTGGCTGGGCAAGCTAAGGAAGGAAGTGCCCAGGGCCCTGCCATTGGCAATGACCTTCCTTTTGTGTTTCCCTGCAGGGGAGGGGGCGGGGGGCGACAGAGGCCAGCCAAGGAATACTCGACTCTGTCAGCCTGACCTTGACTTGCTGTAAGGACCAGTTCCAAAGTCACATAGCTGGCTACCAGACCCAACTAGCAGGAAGAAAACCTAACAAAGCTAGTTACTGATACAACCCAGCTCTTGATCCGCCTCCTCCTGTGGTCTTTCCTAAAGCCAATCTCCCTTCCTCTGAGCCCTTGGTCACCGCACTGGCCACTGCAGCAACCAGGAAGCTGCTGCTACACACACAGCCCCACTCCCTCAACCGGTCCCCACTCCCGGCGCTCCACTCCCACGGGGTAGGCTGCCCATGGCAGCTCTTCATTTTGTGGCTCCAGATCATCTTTCAACTGCTGAGCACAAAGAGCTCCTGCCTAACAAAAGGCTCTTTCTCACACACAAGTGCCTTTTAAAACTGCATCTCAGACACTGTCAATAAGGCAAGTTCCCAGAAGAATCAATAGTTGTATTTGTTTTCCTGGGAGGAGGGCAAAAAAGTAGGAATGAAGTATTTGGCTAATTCCCAAAGCCAGCTTTTTGGCACACTGGAGCCCAGCTGACGTGGGACCCAATTCTGCCCAACTCATACAGTGGGGCACGGACCAGCTTTTCCATCTCAGACCTTCTCTGCCGGGGAGTTTGAGGAGTCCTTCCATCCTGCATGAGACACTAACAGGACACCCCAAGGTGTCTCCACTGGGGTCTCTAACAGACTTTCCACCAAGTAAACTCTCTTCCTGACTGAGAACATCAGCACCGAAAATGGACATCTTCTTGGGCAGCTGCCCGAAGTCCAGTATCTCATGAGGATTAGCTTACAAGTATGTGTTTTAGAACTTTCTGTGGATGCTAGTGACGGCTCCATTAAAAAGCCCCACCCTCCGTCCACCTTCCCTTCTAAGTATATTTGGTCACTTCTACTTGTTTAACCGGCTTATCTGGTCAGCCCTGTCGAGGTGCCGCCTGTGATCCCCACCTCAGCAAATCTACTGCAAAACCCCACAGTGGCCATTAATGGTGTGGCCCCCTTACACATCTGGAAATCAAAAGCCCTCCGTCTCTAACATTTCAAAGGCCTCAAGGTGGAAGAGAAACTGGGGGGCTGACCTTAACACTGAAAGGGGCGCAGCAGGCTTCAGCCAGGAAGCAACCTTCCAGGTAAGGCTCTACAGTATTATTACTGTTAATAGCACGAACAAGTAAGACCATAGCTCTCCATCGTTCAGACAAAGAAAACAACATGAATATTGTTCTATAATCATGTGAATAACTCCACAAATAAGAGTCGTAATTATTGCAGTGACTCCGATCAGGTAGTGATAATACGGGGGGGGGGGGGGGGGGGGGTTGTGTCACACAGGTGGTGATAGCAAATTGTGCTTTGTCACATAACAAAGATACTGAACCCAGAAAGGATGAGGGGACCTCGAGGAAGGGCGACAGAAGGACAACGGCAGATGTGATTCCCAGCATCACAACTTCCAAGGGAAATGTCTGGGGGCCCGGAGGAAGCAGCACAAGTGGAGCTATAAGCAGGTGCTGCCTCTTGTGCCCTATAAATACCAGGGGGCTGTGTGCGGGGTCCCGCAGGCCCAGGTGTGCACAGGGGTCTTCGTTCTGTCAGGGGCAGAAGGCTCAAGATTTTGGCATGTTTTCTATTCCAAGGATAAGAATGACAGGCCACACAAAGTAAATTTCTACCCCTGTGAGGTGTCATACTCCAAACTGTTTTGGTAAAAACGTGCAGAAGAAAACTATTAGCCTAACTACCACCCCAGTTTTTAGGGGTAAGACACATACAAAACATAGCATCACTCAGGATCAACTTGGTTAAAATTTTCAATTCTTTCGGGATAACTTGGTAGTTTCTTTTCGAATTTCAGAATTAAAAAGCTCATCAGGTGATTTTTTCCTCCCCTGAAAGCCAGGGGAAGCCAGCTTTTCGAAAAGCGCCAGTCAGTGCTCAGACCCCTGGGACACTTGCTCAAAGGACGTCCCTTCCAGCTGCAGGCCTCACACATAGAACTGCCGAGAAGGACAGCAGAGGGGCGCCACCAGCGTCCACAGGTACAGCAGCACGCACATCCAGCAGGAGGCCATCTTGACCCAGAAGATGGACCAGCTCCCGTTGAAGAAGGTTTCAATGTAGGCACTTTCATAGCTGTGGGAACGAGAGAGCCATCGTGGTCAGCATAGGAGGAGAACCCGTGGGAGAAGGTCTCTTCTACCAAGTGTCTCCCTGCTTTTGCCCCCTCCAGCCTTTCTTGTTTTCCTAACAACTGAATTCTTATATAATTCACACCCACTTAAAGCATGCAACTCAAGGACTTTCATGTGCACAGACTTGTGGAACTGCCACCATGGTCAACTTTAGAACATTCTCATCGCCCCAAAAAGAAAACCTGCACCCATAGCTGCCCGCCCATTTCCTTCCCTCCTCCTGCCCCCAGAAGTCACTCATCTACTTTTGGTCTTTATGGATTTGCCTATTTGGGACATTTTCATTTTCATATGGAATCACGTGGCCTCTTGGGACTGCTTTTTTTCATTCAGCACAATGTTTTCAAGCCTTATCCCTGCTGTAGCAGTGTCGGTACTGTACGCCCTTTTATTGCTGAGAAGTATTCCATTGTCTGCATGCAGCACGTTTTGTTTACCCATCATCAGTTGATGGGCATTTGGGTTGTTTCCCCTTGTTGGTTATTAACAATGCTGCCTCTGTGCACCCCGTGTACAAGATTTTGTGTGGCCATAAACGTGCCTCATCTTCACTTGGATGTAATATTTGGGAGTAGAATTGCCAGATGATGTCCTAACTTGATGTTTAACATTTTGAGGAACTGCCAAACTGTTTTCCAAAGCAGCTGCACCATTTTACAGTCCTCCCAGGAGTGCCGGAGGGTTCCAAGTTCCCCACATCCTCAACACTTACTATCTGCCTAATTGATCACAGCTCCCTCCATTTTTTTCTTCAGTTTCCCAAGTCAGAAATTCTCAGGAATTTTCAAAGGATCACGGGACAGCATCAGAAACTCCCTCCCTATTTTCTCCCTCAGGAAGATGTTTGGGAAGATTATCACTCTGTTTGAAGCCACCATCCACCACCCCCAACCCCACAAGGTACTTCTCATTCCTCTTCCTCATTTCATTTTTCACCCCAACACTCACGACGATCTGACACACTGTATCTGGTTAGGTTCATGGTCTCCCCATTAGAATGTAAGCCCTGCCACCCAGAACAGTGTGGCACATAGGAGCCACTCAAATGTGTGCGGAATGAATAGAAAGAAAGCACAATAAACCTATGTATATCCTAATTTATATCACATTCGTATCCAACATAAAGTTTCGATTAAAGAATAATGCAAAAAGAATCTGTATGTTGTGACAGGGAAAAGAGTCTCTATGTTGTGACAGGGAAAGTCAGGTGTATCCTATACTGCCAAGTTAATAAAAAACAAACAAAACAAAAAACCTCAAAGGGGGGAGGGTAATATGTGTAATCATATTTATGATAAAAATTATAAATGCATAGAAAAAGAATAAAAGAATATATACCACATTGTTAGCAGTGGTTGGGGGAGGGAGTCACTGTTACTTTTTATATTTCCATATTAGTTTTTTTAAAAGCTGATTTAAACTTTTGTCATGAAAGTGTGAAGAAAAAAAAGGACAAAATACAAAGCAGAAAAGGGATAAATACACAATGCAGATAATGTATACAGATGATGTATTATGAAACTGTACACTTGAAAACTATAATCTTATCACCCAATGTCACCCCAATAAATTTAATACAATTTTTAAAAAGCAGATGATTACTTAAGAATTCCAAGTGCTTCCTCCATTACCATTACTATGTTCTTCAAGACTACCCATATGCAGTTAACCTTCCTTTTTTTTTTTTGAAGTTGCAGTAAGCCTTGGCAATTCCCAGGGTTAAAAGTATGCCACTAGACCAGCGATGGCGAACCTATGACACGCGTGTCAGAGGTGACACGCGAACTCATTTTTTTGGTTGATTTTTCTTTGTTAAACGGCATTTAAATATATAAAATAAATATCAAAAGTATAAGTCTTTGTTTTACTATGGTTGCAAATATCAAAAAATTTCTATATGTGACACGGCACCAGAGTTAAGTTAGGGTTTTTCAAAATGCTGACACGCTGAGCTCAAAAGGTTCGCCATCACTGCACTAGACTAAACTTGAACTGTTTCGGTAAAGGTGAGCACAGCTTGACTTGGAAAATCATTTAGCTGACTCTGGAGATCTGCTCTGTGCCTCAGCACCATATGGAACAGGACTCACCTTGCTTTTATAAAGACTGCCCCTTCTAAAACCCCTACGAAGGCGGGCCACTCACTTGAACCAGTTGGTGACGGTCATCATCACATAGAGGGAAGCCAAAAAGAAGACTCCGTGGAAATAGGAATAGCTGTAGACGGTGCTTCTCTTCTCGTCATAAATGACGCCCGGCCCCTCTTTCATATTCTGCGGGTCTTCAGTGTCTGTGAACCACAAAGCCAGCACCAGCTCCATGAGTGAACAAATGCACACTGACCGCTTTAGCAAAGACACACTGGCTTCAACCCAGGGGCTGTTCCGTAGGAAAGATGCCAAAAGCCACTTGTACCTTAAGGCATTTTCATCTATGCCAAAAGCACAAACCTCCCACCCTACCCCAGAACCTTCCTGAACAGGATGAGTTACCTAACATCCCATATATTTTATTTATTTATTTTAAATCTATTGAGGGATCAAGTCAAGTTTATTTATTTTTATTGATGAGAGAGAGAGAGAGAGAGAGAGAGAGAGAGAAGGGGGGGGAGAAAGGGAGAGAGAGAAACATCAATCCGTTGTTCTACTTATTTATGCACTCACTGGTTGATTCTTGTATGTGCCCTGACCAGGGATTGAACCCACAACCTTGGCATATACCAGTAGGGACCATGCACTAACCAACTGAGCTGCCCTATTTAATAGAGCAGGGGGGGAAAAAGCTATTAAAAACACAAAACTTATTATAAGCTCAGAAGAAAGTGAGAAAGAGTAGAGAACTCCTCAAGCCCCCGGGATCCTCCAATTCAAGAAGAAAAGTTAAGTTGAGGAAAAGAATGGTCCAAATTATGGTGTCAGGACCTCTTGGTATTTTCCCAATTTTCATTCCTTCAAAAAATGTACTTTCTGCTTCTCTAAATCTCACTGTATAACTTAAATATGAGCCAACATATTAGACTGATTTCTTGCCTGCCAGAATAGCGAAACAAACCAAGAAAACCTCACAACCCTTTGGGGAGAGTATGAAAAGTATGTACAGGGTAAACTGTCTGTGGAAAAAAGTTTCCCCTTACCATTCAGTTATTTGTACGTGAATCCCAAATGCCTACAGACTAGACTAGAGCGACAGGTCTGCAGGGCCACACAGATGCATAGAGGGCAAGTTCTCTACTCACCTTCTCCATAGGGACTGAAGCAAAAGCAACACCGAGCTACCTGAGAGAGCAAAACCAACAGTCAGGTGACTTGCTCTCCACTCCCCACACCAGTAAAGCACTAACGGCCACTGCGTGCCAAGCCGCCCCCGTCTGAATTATATCCCAGGCCCAGAACTGCACACTTTACCCCTTCGGGAGGTGTTAACGAAGCACCTGCTCTTCCCAGATGCTCCGGGTGCTGGTGATGGGAAACACAATGGACTGAGGGGAGCTGCCTTCAAGGGACACACTCAGTTCCTGCGCCTGCTGTGGCAGACAGTCTACACTGCAGCTCCCAGGCTTTGCCCCAGCAGTCACCCTGCCCGAGGGCAAGCCCTTCCTGGACAAGCCACAGGAATGAATCCCACAGCAGGGGGGAAAGGGAGCAGCCACTGACCCCTGGGGGACAGGCCCGATGGGCCACATCTTCCCTGGAGCACTTGTTGGGGGTCAGCAAAGATGTGTCCGGCCTGCGGCACCCTTCAACATCACCCTCGGTCCACTCTGCCTCTTCCCTTTCTTTTCTCACTTTCCTTTCACTAATAAATCTCCTGCTCATCAAACTACCTGGGCAGCTGCCTCTGAAAAACTCAACCTGAAACACAAAGTGAATGAGACAAGGTCCCCGCTCTCATGGAGCTCACTCCTGGTGCTTCGCTCTACTAGCTACTTCATTAAACCCTCTCCAACCTCTGAGGCTGGGATGATATTCCTATTTACAGTTGAGGAAACTGAGGTCAGGCAACTAGCTTAGTGAAAGGAGCTGGGACATGAGTGCGGGATGAGAACCCCAAGGCCCATGACTCACAAGAGGCAACCAGTAGCATGTGATATCTAGGAAGTGGTGGGGCCAGGAGAATCAGCGATGGTAACGCGAAGGGATCTGGAAGCAGGAGGCCTACCTACACTTCCTGTAAAAATCAGGCCGCTCAAATGGCACGGGAGTGCGGGGGACAGGGATGGTGGGATACTTCCCTTTGAAGAGCCTTTGGTATCTTCCAAATTTCGTACCAGGTTTCCAACTTACTCAACATAATAAACTTAATTTTAAAAATATCAGGTTATGAACAATAACTACATGACTTCCGAAGTACGCTCGTAAACAGATAAGAAACACAAGTACCAAGGAGGTCTGGGAAGCGCTGGGTCCTGGATACTCGGGCTGATAAAATTTTTACTACAAAGAAGAGAGCCAAGGACAAGGACATGGGAGCCTAGGCCTTCACCCCATTTATCCACCTCACAGCCACGTCCCTGTTTCCCTCCTACATCAAGGGAACTTGTAATAAAGGGACTGGCCTTGACAGAATCTTGCATCGAGTGGCACAAAGACTCACTAATTCATTCAGGGGGCCCAAGACATGGTGTGCTGGGATCCCAGTTCTTCAGAAGCTTCAGTTACCACAAGAAACGAACTCTCTTTCAAAGGAGCACCCTGTGATACGTGATGCAAGGGGAGCAAACACCATCCTGCATGCTCCCCATTTCCGGAGGAAACACCGGACATTTTCCTCGGAAAAAGAAAAACATCCTCTCTCAAATCGTACTTAGAGACTCGCTGTCCTTTGCACATTAACTCTGTGCACGATAGGGATATTGAAACCATAAGGTACCACCCCAGCAGGTGGTCACCCAGTCGGTGGTGAGAACAAATGCCTGCCTTCCAGAGACCATTCTCTTATTCAGTCTCCTTATTCATTCTCTTATTCAGTCTCTTTTTTAAGTGACAGAAAGAGCTGGGGAATCATGCTGGCAGACTGACAAGCCTTCACAACGGTTCCCTCTCTCCAGGTCAGGTGCCGGAGAGACCATCCCCAGAGACGCAGCTGCAGAAGGAAGCGCCCATCAGATAAGCCAGGGCTCTTAAATCCAGGGAAAGCTATTAGGATGCAGCCAGGGCGGGATGCCAGGCAGGGTTCCCAGCCCAGCCAGGCCAGGAGCAGCAGCTGAGCTCTTGGTTATCAGTGGTGGTTAGGAACACAGGCTCATGGTTACATGCTGGCAAATCCAAAGTTTAAATGACTTTGCAAAAGGAGAGAAAACCCTCATTGGGTTTTCATGAGGATAAAATGAAATGACATATGTAGCACCTAGCACAGTGCCTGGAACATAGCAAGTGCCACAAGTCTTAGCTATCACTGGACTTTCCATTCTTGGGGTCAGGGCTGAATTGTTTCCTGGCTGCCTCCATCTGGTTAGACCTTTTTAAACCCTGGATGTTCCACTGTAATAAAATACACTCTGCTGACCACTGGCATCTGCCAACCAGTATGATTCCTTGGACATTTATTGTTCACAATTCTTTACCCAGTGAAATGCCCACCTGATGGAACTGACACCCTTAAATAAGCTAATGTGCAGACAATGCTCAGCCGTGTGGCATACAGCAGATGCTGCTCCTCCCCTTCTCCATCGTCCTCTCCTCCTTCGGAACAGCTGTTACATAGCCTCACAGTTGTGCTATGTATGGAGGGCACAGGCAGGTATAAAACAGAGGAATGGACTAGAAATTGTAGAAAACCACACACATTCCATTATGACAGAAGAACAAAGAACAGCTTGACAAAGCCACCCCGGCCTCTGGTGGGAGGTGGGCAGCAGGATGCCACACAAGAGGCCAATCTTGTTGGAGGAAAATCAAGGATTTTAATCCCATAGTATATATAGGATATTTCTTTATGAATAAAAACTGTCTTCTTAGGATCATGGAATGCAGATCAATAAAGATACAAATAAACATACAAAGCCTTCCTGGGAAGTGGGTCTTCTGAGAAAAGCAGGACAGGAAAAGGAAAGGAACTTACTTCCAGTTCGGGAGCTGCGTGGCGCCCCGCCAGAGCATCAGAACTCGATCTCGTTGTCGATGTCAAACTAGGAAACAAACAGAAAGGTCAGCAGAGCACATGGACGTGCTATGTCCCATCAGAGGAAGGGCAGGGCCGCTGGCCAATGTCCAGTGAGAGACTCACGACACCCACAGTCCTCCCCGCTTAGATAAATGTAGTCTATTTAAATATCCACTGTATTCCAAAACTGGCTGACTGATTCTATAGCTAATGTTGTTGACATGAATTGCATTAGATCATTTTGTGCAAAGAGAAGTTTGTAAAGAAAAATAAGATGTCTTTTGGTCCCATTATCTTGGTTTTTGCCTCTCTTCCCTTAACTGCCAAAATAATTTTCTGATTTCACTTTTATCATTCCCCTCCCTTTGACCATTCTCACTTAGAAGGGATCAAAAGCACAGAGGAACCCAGAGATGGCAATAAAAATTCAGGGCATGAAAAACAAAGGTCACATTACTTACTGTGGTAATCAGCCTATGGCAGAACAAGGTTTTCTGTTTAGAAATTCAATATAGACTAACTAGTTGTGGGTGTGATTTTTTAAAAAAAATCTTGCCACTTTCCCCATACCTTGAGAGGTAAAATGTTATAAAATTTTACTTACAGGAGTAAAAAAAAGTATTTATTTTCCCTAGGGGAAAAGAGGGGGGAACATTTTAAGCAAATTATACTTTAGGGTTCCATCTAACTGTATAAATTTGCTTAGCAAATATTTACTGAAGGCCTGCCACGTGTCAGGCCCTATTCTAAGCACTGGGGACTCAGTGAAATCCCTGCCCTTAATGCAGCTTCGGTGCTAATCTGGAGGCAGGTAGAGTGGTATGTGTGTGGGAGGGTGACAGATTGGGGAGTGTTGCCTAGTAGAGGCAGGAATTAGCAGGTTCTTTTCAACCAAATAAACCTCATGAGGAAACACTGCCTTCTCTGCTCATTCTCATCCTCTTTCCCAAGGAGAGAAGAGATCAATGAGATGCAAATCTATATATATAAAAGCCTAATATGCTAAGCGTCCAACCGATTGGTCGACAGTTTTGTCAACTGTTTGGTCAACCACTTGACCAGTTGCTATGATGCACACTGACCATCAGGGGGCAGATGCTCTGACCAGTAGGTTAGCTTGCTGCTGGGGTCTGGCCAATTGGGACTGGGTGAAATGGGCCAGACACGCCCTGGAGCCCTCCCACGGTCCCTCCCCAGCAAGCCGGCCCTGATCAGCCCCAATGGGGACTGGGCGAGATGGGCTGGACATGCCCTGGAGCCAACCTCCTGCAGTCCCTCCCTGGCCTCTAAAATATTTCTTCTAATTAATTTCTTTTCAATGTGCACGAATTCATGCACTGGGCTTCTAGTAAACAATAAAAAGCCTTAGTCATAAAAAGGTCCTCTGGGATCCAAGCTACTGCTTCTTTTGTGGTCCACTGAAGACCAATAGCATCACTTTCATTTCTGCTTTGAACAGATGGATGCTAATTGAGGCCCACTCCACTCCCACTTCCTGACTCTAAGCCTGGGTAGAGGAATGACAGAAACATTCCAATGGCTGTGCACCCAGGAAATTTACGCCTTGCTCCTGCATTTAAGTGTGCTATATTTTGTGCCTTTGAATTATGATTTAAGATAGTATACAGTTTCCATGGGGATAAATATAACTTTCAATTTTAGGAACAGGTCAGTATCTGGAATTTTCATCTAAAAGATGATATTCTTTAAAGAGTGTAGAATATATATTCATTTTATAAATTCTTTGCAATGGATGGTTTCAGAAAAACAAAGCTTTGATTCTGGCACTTTTGCGGCTTCACTTCCACCATCAGCACTGAAAGGGGAACGTTTTATCCTTCTTGAAGTTCATTGTGATGTGTGACGTCTACAAGCAGATGTTACTGTACAATAAGGTCTTTATTCAGTAGTGGCCTTTCCCCACACTCTTCTTGGAATTATTAAGAAAATATTGTTTTTACAAGCTCTTACAAAACACAGAAAATTCTTACTGTCTGCATTCTGGCTGTTATTGACCCATCTGTTTGGTCAGCGCAAGACAAACTGTTGTAAAATAATTCCCGGATTATCCATAATCTCTTGTCTCCTAGCCCTAAAATGTGAGTGGTGTTAACCAGGACTTCCTGTGGGGGGCGCAGGAGACTAACAGTATTTGGTTGGGACAATGCTTTCCCATACAGAGAATGTCCACCACACGGCAGTATGGCCACTGTGCCTGGTCCCCGTCACAAAAAGCCAGCAGTGGCTTTCAGGCATCGTGACAACCAAAAAGATAAGATGCCTCTCTGTACCTTTGCCCAGGAACCACTGCCCTGCCCACAGTGACAAAGAGATTCAAACACAGGTGCTTCTGGCACTGGCCAAATGCCCCCAGATTACAGAAAATCACTAAAACCATGTGCAGACTTTCCTATGGGACACCACAGATTCTGATTCCCTCACACACTTGCAGGGCAGGCCTTTGAGAGGTCCCATGGCCGTTCCCAGCCTTTGTGTGGTGAATTCAATTATGTTCCTGCTGCTGTGTAAATGGTGACGCACAGCTCCCAAAGGAGACCAGAGTCCTTGGGGAGCGTGGGGCAGGGCTCAGCAGGTCCCGGTGCAGAACATGGGAATTTCTAGCTGGCTGGCTGGCAAGTGGAGGATTCCCAAAGTAAGATACACCCCCTCCCTTTCTCTTAAAGCAGAGTATCAGGCCCAGAACACACGAGAATAGACAGCCCTCCTTGATTCACCAATTTTTCTCTTTTTAAGCCAATCTCTCTAATGCCAACTTACCAACCTTGTACCTATGTTCACACAGTATGCAACATGGCTGTGAATGTCCCATTTTCAACTAGCCAGTTGGAAATTTAATAAAGATTCTTTCTTAGCTTTTATAACTTTATATCCAGTTTTTGTTATGCTTAAGAGAAAATATAATCCTTTCTTGTGTAAGCTGTCTAGGAATTTGAAGTAGCTGGGTAATGTTTCACAACACAAGTGCCTCCTGATAATGTCATTATGTGAGTCATCTAGCTTATCTTTCTACCAGAGTGAAGAATGGACCTTACTCCAAGCCAACACAAGGGGAAAAGTTCTGACCCGTCTCTCCAAATAGCCCAGCAAAAGAGACTCAAGGAGAGGTGTCCTGAAATTGGGGGTGCAGAGCTGTAGGAATAGGCTCCATACCCATTTTCTTTTAGGTACAGTGAGGGGATTGAACTCGATTGACTCCAGAATCCTATCCAGTCTGACAGCTTGAACTTGAAACCAACAGAAGAATACTCTCAAAATCTAGAGGCCAAGGAGGGAATTAAGGAATAGTTGGGGGAAGCCAGGGCCTGTCACAAGGAGCCAGGCCGAGGAGGGTGTGGGGGGACCGGCCTATAGAATGAGCCATTGGGGCGCTCCTGCATGGGGTCCAAGCTGTGACACTTCCTCCTCACAGTGATGCCTGGAGGCAGCAGAAGGGGGTCTGGAGAAAGGGTGGCCTCGGTCAGAAAGCCAGGGAGTGAGTTTGGGCTGAGCCCTTCTTCAAGCTGAGACCACAAAAGAGCAAAACACACTCACAGCGAGTGTGTCAGCAGCAGGACTTGGAACAGAGAACCAGGAACTGAGGATAGAAGTCATCATGAGAGCCCCTAAAGTGGTGTGAGTGTGTGTGTGTGTGTGTGGGGGGGGTGGTGGAACGCGTGTGTAGGGGGGACTCCTATACATGAATAGGTAAGAAGACAGCACAGTGAGCCTTCTATGACCTTACAGAAAAGTCAGCCCCAGCAATCCTGGATTTTCATTGAAAATGGGTGATTTCTTCTCCCTTTAATGTGCATACACACCACCTAGTCTTTTAGCTTCCTACAGATTCTATCATTTCTAGAAATTCCTGCAATCGTGTGCAAATGACAGTTTCCACCCAACCTCTTTTTGTAACATCTTCCAAACTTTCATTCCTCTGAGTCTGGGAAGAAAACATAAACTCTAGAAGCCGTGATTTGAAAACCTCCTGATTGGCCGCCTCCCACCCCCGGCAGGAATTCCCTTTATTCACCGCTCTACTCACTAGGCCTGAACTCACTTCCCTCCGGGAGCTGCAGTGATGACTGAGCAAACATTGATCCGCCCCCCCCCCCCCCCCCCCCCCCCCCCCCCCCCCGGGCGCCACCTGGTTACCCTGTCCTCGGCTTGGTGTGTGGCTGCTGTTTCCCACCTCCTCTTCCATCCAGCACTATGGTTTTGCAGTTTAATTACTAGCATTCGATTAACATTTGCTATCGGCATTTAGACAGACTTTAAGTAGCAGCTGTCAGCTTTGAACGTTGTTATCTTTTGGGGACTATCAGACCAGAGTCCCCAGACCATACCAACCTCCACTGTGGTGCCTCTGAGGTCCGGAAGAAGTGATGTTTTATTTAGCATCACTCATTCAAGGGTGGCGGTGAAAATCTGATAGGGTAAAAAGTCCATGCTGCAAAATGACACCATTTGTGGCAATTCTATCAGCACTAAGTAGAATTTTTGCCATCTTTCCATTGATAGGTTTAAAGCAAATCCAAGCCCTGCCTTACCTAAGGGGCAAACATTTTTTTAGGTATCTAGCAACCCACAAAAACATATGATTTTAATCTTTCAAAGTTCTTTACAGTTTTTTTTTCTGATAACAAGAATAAAAATAAATCATAACCCTGGCCAGTATGATTCAGTGGTACAACGTCAGCCCGCACAAGGAAGGGTTGTGGGTTCGATTCTGATCAAGGGCACATACCTGGGTTGCAGTCTCTAACTCTCCCCCTCCCGTCCCTTCCACTCTCTGAAAAAGCAATGGGAAAAAAAAAAAATTTTAGGTTAAAAATTAAAAAAAAAAAAAAAAGTCACCACTATTACAAATTTGGTTCCTTTCCTTCCTGATTTTTTTTCTATATACATAAACACAACTATATTTTATTTTTAAAATGGAATACTCTATATTTATAGTTTAGTAACCTACTTTATTTTCACTTGACTTACCAGTGTTTTTAATAGGCCAATTCAGAAAAAACATTTGAGAGACCAATGAAATTAGCCATGTTGCTGCCCTTTTCCCCGAAAGCCCAACAATAACAGACTCGGGAAGAAAAGGCTTGCTCAAAAGAAGGAAGAGCTGAGAATCAGGATTCAAAACTTGGGCGCCTTTATGTTTTTCTCTGAAAACATTCATTGACTTGGGCCCGAATCCTATCTATTTCTGTTTATAAGTAGTATTCGGTGAACAATCGTGTCATCATTAAAAATAAAAGGCCAGAAACTGGTCACCAGGTGTGCAGGAGAGGCTGTTCCGTGACAGCCGCTGTCTGTTCCGCAAGCTAGACCTGGGCCAGAACAGAGGTTGCTTTCTGCAACCCCCCCTTAGAGAAGGTCTGATAATAATTAATGTTCATCTGACATAACTCAGCAGCCTCCCTTGACTCCTGCTACATGCTGGTCCTGGAACAGGTTGTTGTCCTGACCTGGTCAAGCATGTAAAGTTAATTCCCGTGCCTGGCAGTGTCGGAGCACCATCCCCCCTTTACCCTATATAATCCTTTGGCACCTGCCAAGAGGCACAGGGATCCATTTGGTCCTACAACCACCCACGACATGCCCCGGACGTCAGTTTTCCTCAAAAAACCCTGCTAATTACCAGACTGGAGTGGCTAGCCTCCTTCTCTGCCCTCTGTTCACAGAGGTTGATTTTCAGTCCTGGGGCTTTTCCCTGGGGCTGGGTGTACTAACACCATGGTCCCTCCTGGTGCAACGAGGAGACTGTCACCATGGCAAAGACAGAGTGAGCATCAATGTCACCACCACCTGCAACACAAGCAAGTACTTGGTCCCTTTCTAACATTAGGGGGTGGTAGAAGCTATAAGAGAAAATGCCAACTTGCCCAGAAAGATGTTTTATTTACACAAGGTATCACCATCAGCATCATTTCATTTCAGCCAAAGGAAGATTATAATGCGCCCAGGACAAGTTGAAATGTTTATATACTGAAACATATCCCATAGAACACAGAAGTAAAACCTAAACATGAAAAGGTTACTGTCAAAGGGGAACGTAATTATCAGTGAAACATCTATCCAGAATAAGAAACGAACCATTTCTAGCCCTTACTTTTCTCTCTCTAGCAATCTTTTAAACATTTTAAAGGTATAAGAACCCTCACCGTAAGCATGTGAAATGCAGCCTGCTTACGTATCACACCTACTTTTGGGGAGCTCTGGACTCCTTAATGGGACTGTGGGTTTTAGCATAAAAAGAAAAGGGGGGTACTTCCTGTCTTTCCTAGACAAGGCACAAAATGACCGTGTACGTAGTGCTTTGTGTTTTGCATCAACAAAAGAACAAATGGTATTTCCCTTGGATTAGAAAATTCCCCAAACATCCTGGCGTATACCACACTTTGTGTTCACTTGCCGTCCAGTAATGCATTAGCAAGTAATATTCAATCGTCTTTTAAAGGGTTGCAACGTATCACATCCTTATTTTATTTATCCCCTATAAATATAAGACAAATGAAGTCCAAACACCTTATTATTTCTATTCTCCTTCTTCCTCAGAAGGCATTTGTTTTGCTGCCTCGCAGCTGCTAAACTTATTTAAATTCTTCTCCTGCACATTAAAAGTCTGTGAAGATGAGCTCAGGCAATCCTAAAACTTACCACGAATATAAGATGCACGCAAACAAGAGAGTGGTACCCAGTCCAGTCACCAAGTTTTCGTCTCTGTATAGGTCCTGACCAAAGTCAGGCACACAGATCGTAACGTTCTTCCCATGTGCATCCAGAACTTGCAAAGGAAAAACAAAGTAACCACAGTTAAATCAGAAAAACCTGCTGTAACTCACTCACTCATTTGGGGAAAATTCAGGTAGCTTAGAAGAGTCAAGACTTATCACTGGGAACTTCTACTCTATAGTACAACTCGACACAGGCTAGACTGTGGCTATTTCGAAGCACCCCTCTCCTACCTCACACCTCTGCAAACAGGACCCCCCGATTCTAAAGTGTTCTTCAGTTCACGACCTTTGCAAGAGCCTTGCTCTTTTTCACCACTATTCAAATATTACACAGTACACTTAGATTCTTTTTGTCGTTGTCATCAATCCTCACTCAAAGATCTTTTTTCCCATTGATTTTCAGAGAGAGTGAAATGGAGAAAGGGGGTAAGACAGAGAAAGAAAGAGAAACATTAATGTGAGAGAGACACATCATCGATTGGTTGTCTCCCGCACGGGCCAGGGATCAAACCTGCAACCCAGGTATGTGTCCTTGACTGGAATCAAACCCCTCACCCTTTGGTGCTTGGGTTGACATTCTAACCACTGAGCAACACCCACCAGGGCAACTTAGGTTCAGTTTATTTGGCAGCCGCTGAACAGAAATAATGTACAGATAATTGATCACTCTCTCTGGAGGTGTGATAAGGGCATTCAACTACCAACTGAGTATCAGATAACAGCTTTCTGCCACAACCTCCCCCAGATGACAAGTCATTTTACTGCCAGTAACAGGATGGCTGTGACCTCTTTCAGGCTGTAACCTGGGAACCTACTGAGGTTGTCTGGATTTTTAAAATATTTTAGAGGCTACATAACAAAGATTTCCGTAGTATTACCATCAGTGGTAGTTTATTTTTTGTCTAACACCGTCTTCAATTTTGAACACCCAATCTAGGTTTGACTGCCAACTCTGTCCCCATAAGGGACAGAAACCATTTTACAAACATACATTCTAAGCGTCTGAAGTTGGACTAAAATTATTACTAGTACTCACACTTGAACAGTAAACATAACTGTGTATGCTGTGGTTAAAGGAATCTTTATTCTTAGGCCAGTGAAAAATGTTTTCTTAAAAACTGACCAAATATGAACTTTGCTATTTAAGTAGTACCACCTGAAATTAAAAATAAAAGTTGTTTTTTTTTTGTTTTTAAGTGATACCTGCCATTAAAAAGAAAACTATGTTAACTAAAACCCCAATAAGTTAAAACCAGAGATTAATATATAGTTATAAAGTCCTGAAGAGACCAGGTTTAAATAAACTTAGTCAAAATAGAACTTTGTTTAAAAAAAAATTATATCCAAGAGCGTCGGACTGCGGACTGAAAGGTCCTGGGTTCGATTCTGGTCAAGGGCACATGCCTGGGCTGCGGGCTCAATCCCCAGTAGGGGGCGTACAGGAGGCAGCCAATCAATGATTCTCTCTCATCATTGATGTTTCTATCTCTCTCTCCCTCTCCCTTCCTCTCTGAATTCAATAAAAACACATTTTTAAAAAAATTATATCCAGGATAGACTATACTTTATATAAGGCCTATAATTATATCACTTCACACTATAAATAGCTATAAAAACAAGATGCATACATAGTACATACATATGCTAAACCTTTCAAATTATCTTTGCCTTTGCTTTCTAAATAAAATTTTTAAAAAGACCTTCAATTTTGTTTTTTACTGGCAAGACTCAGGGGCTTATACAATAACACTTTATAATATAATCCTATATAATAAAAGTGTAGTATGCAAATTGTCCCCTCAACCGGGAGTTCTTCTGGGAGTTTTGACCAGGGGGCAGGGCCGGCCAGGGGAAGGGAGGGAGGCCCTGGTCAGCTGCAGGCAACTGTGATGTGAGGTGAGGTGAGGTGCAGTGATATAATACAACACAATACAATATAATCTATAGTAATAAAAGGGTAATATTCTAACTAGATCAGACATCCTTCCGGACAAAGCCACGGTGGCGGGGGCTGAGGCAGAGGCAGTTAGGGGCAATCAGGCTGGTAGGGGAGCAGTTAAGGGGTGACCAGGCTGGCAGGGGGGCAGTTAGGTGGCGACCAGGCTGGCGGGAGAACTGTTAGGGGGCGACCAAACCAGCAGGGGGCCAGTTAGGAGTGACCAGGCTGGCAGGGGGGCAGTTAGGGAGCGATTAGGCCAGCAAGCAGAAGCAGTTAGGGGCGATTAGGCAGGCAGGCAAGTGGTTAGGAGCCAGAGGTCCCGGATTGTGAGAGGGATGTCTGACTGCCAGTTTAGGCCACATCCGGCAGTTGGACATCCCCCAAGGCATCCCAGATTAGAGAGGGTGCAGGCCAGGCTGAGGGACCCCTACCCCCGTGCATGAATTTCGTGCACTGGGCCTCTAGTCCTATATAATAAAAGCCTAATATGCTAAGTGTCCAGTCATCCATTCAACCAATCAAAGCGTAATATGCTAATGATATGCTAAGGCCACTCAACTGCTTGCTATGATGTGCACTGACCACTAGGAGGCAGACAGTCGACTGGTCGACCAGTCGCTATGATGTGTACTGACCACCAGGGGGCAGACGCTCCGACTTGTAGGTGAGCTTGCTGCTGTGGTCTGGCCCATCAGGACTGAGCGGGACGGGCCAGACACACGCTGGAGCCCTCCCGCAGTCCCTCCCTGGCTGGCCAACCTCTCTCCCTGGCCCTGATTGTGCACCAGTGGGGTCCCTCGCCTGGCCTGTACCCTCTTGCAATCCGGGCTGAGGGAATCCTCCCCCCGCCCCCCCAGTGCACGAATTTCATGTACTGGGCCTCTAGTAAAATATAATATACTTTGATAGTTCTCAAATAATCATTGCAACTACGAAACTAGCTTATCCTTATATAGTACCAACTATGTTTGAGAAACTGAATTCTTAAAAATCACCTTATAAAGTAGTAATCTTATTTAAGTGTCTTGTTATATTAAAATTTTATTTTAAAGGCAAGGTGTCTAGGCAGAGAAAGGTAAGTAACTTTGTACAAGTTACTTAAGTGGCAGCACCAGGCTACCAGGCAGTCCAACTCTAAAGCTCATGCATGCTCTGTTGTCTCTATAAATAAGTGTTATTTAAGATGAGCAATTCAAGGTCACACAACCAGCAAACGGTGCAGCTGGGCTCAAATCTCTTCCTGTTTCTTGCTTCCCACTTCCATGTTTTTTCCACTATTTGTTTCAGTCAAAGAAATGACTATCTGAAGAAAAGTAATACCCAACTAAAAAAACAACAACAAAATAAACAAAGAAAAATAAAAACATCCCTTAAAAACAAAGCAGAGAAATGCAGATTAGGCCTAAAAGCAAACTCAACAGTCCACCTTTGTACATGTCTCTCCTACACAGCAGGAAGACTAGAAAGAATAAATTTTCATCTTCATAACCCACCTTAAGGTCTTTGTTTATTGAAAAAGTCTTAATCATTTCTCTATTTTGATTTATTTCGAGCGAGGGGGAATAGCTCAGTGGAAGAGCACGTGCCTGGCATGTATGAGACCCCGGGTTCAACTCCCAGCATCTGCAACTCGGCCTTCAACACCACTCTTGAAGGAACACAGGCTCCTCTTGATTTACTGCATCCCTGATATTTAAACAATAGCTCACAGAGACACATTGCTTCCTCCACAAATGAAAATATTCGTGCCACAAACACATGCTCCCTAACAAGGTCAACTTACCCACTTCTACAGGTTTGCTGGACAGAGCTGAGAAGGTGAGATACGTGACATAGCAGCTTATGAGCCCCGACTGCAGTAACCCCGAGTGGGGCTGCCCTGGAAAATGACAAGAGACAGAGTTTAAGACAGTGTTTTAAATTTCAACAATAAGAGAGCACCTGCTTAAAATATATATATATATATAAAAGGTCTCCCCACCCTCCAAATGAAAATGATTCCTCAAACTTGGGCCCTGCCTTTAAAGGAAAGAAGAGGTACATAATGTGTTTGTCAGGTAACAAAAGATTTTGGGGGGGAGGGAGTTAGCTGCTATTTTCAAGGTGCCAAGCTCTGCCAAGTTCTCTACCAACACCTTATTTTTATAACTACAGCTGTACTTAAACATACTACCTGGTACCCCTGAAGTTCATAACATTAAGTTCTTTTTTTTTTTAAATTTCTTGTTGTTATCCTCACCCGAGGTTATTCTATCCATTGATTTATTTTTTATTTATTTATATATTTTTTTAGAGAGAGTGGAAGGGAGGAGGAGAGATGCAGAGAGAGAAATATTGATGTGAGTGAGGCACTTCGATTGGTTGCCTCCCACACATGCCCCGACTAAGGCAGGGGATTGAGGCTGGGACCCTTCAGTCCACAGATTGATTAATGCTCTAACCACGAGCAACCCAGCTAGGGCAGCATTAGTTCTTATATCACAAGATCTCAGAAGAACACTTACCATCATTATTTCTGAGCTCACATGGTTTAAACAGGTAAATGATAGATTTCATAGGCCATGGACTCCTGATTCTACAAGGACAGCGGACACTTACAGTCCATGACAGTGGAAAAAAGCTCTTATTCATCAGTGAATAAAAACCTTTGGGACCTAGCTGAGTTGGCTCAGTGGATAGAGCATCAGCCTGGGAACTGAAGGGGCCTGGGTTTGATTCTGATCCAGGGCACATGCCTGGCTGCAGGCTCGATCCCTAGTAGGGGGCGTGCAGGAGGCAGCCGGTCAATGATTCTCTCTCATCATTGATGTTTCTATCTCTCTCTCCCTTGCCTTTCCTCTCTGAAATCAATAAAAAATATATTTAATTTTAAAAAAAACAACCTTTAGGAATACCAGACCTGGTCCAGGCCAAAGAGGAAGGTTATGGGGCTCAGCATTCCCTGGGAGGAGGGCTTTAATGTTACAGCATTTAAATTAAACTTAGTGTTTATATCATTGAGAGTAACCAGGATGTGGTAAAAGTAATTTATATTTTCTTGGTGAAATTTTCAACCACCTGCTGGCATGAAAACATTTAGCTTTATCCATTCTTCTCTCTGGTTAAATTTGTTTCCAGAATTATATTTATTAAGTTACAATGGCCAATAAAGGTATAGAAACATACCTTTTAATAATGATGCTCTTTTGGCAAAGGAATAAGATTTACCTTAACAATTAATGGCATTAAACTAAATATTCAAAATATTATAACTATTTCAAAAGGTGGGATTTTACCCAAAGGATATTTTAATCTGAATACTAATAATGTTTTAGGAAATTCTTAACTGACCAATTGAAGTGATTTGAAAGAATAATACTCTCAATTTCATTAATGGACTTGAAATTTTTAGTACAGAAAAGCTTTTATATTATTCAACATCAGCTCTTTTTAACTCACCATTTTAGAAAGGTTTCAAGGGGCTATAAATTTATTGGCCATATTTTCCTTTTCCTAGCTAGAAACCTAAATGTCATGTGATTTTTTTATCACCTGTAGAGTAAGACACCTACAGGAAACTTGAAACCAAGGACAATTCTATCTATAACCAAAGACAACACACTGGCTTAAGATATCAGAAGTCATTTAAAAAAGACAATTGATGCCTATACTTTCTAAAGTACTTTCAAATTCCATGTCTCTTCCTTTTGGCTTTGAAACAACCATGAGCAAGGTCAGGCTCACAGGTTTCTGTTGGCTTTGCTGAGAAAGGACTTGAGTCTGATGAAGACAGCTCATGAGGCCAGCTGCTAGGTAAGCGGAGATCGGATTTCCTGCTTCCTATCCACACTGTCCCTGGTGGCCGGCCTTGAGAGAAAGATGAGCCCAGAAACAGCTCTTTCTGGAGCCTTCTCATTCAAGTTTTACAAAGAGAATATAGTGAAGAGCTCAATATACAATAAGGGCATTTCCATTTAAAGGCTCCTTGTAGTACTCTATTTAATAACTAGAGGCCCGGTGCATGAAATTCATGCACTGGGTGGGGGGTGGCCCTCAGCCCAGCCTGCACCCTCTCTAATCTGGGACCCCTTAGGGAGATGTCCGACTGCCGGTTTAGGCCCAATCCCTGTGGGCCTAAACCGGCAGTCAGACATCCCCCTCACAATCCGGGACTGCTGGCCCCCAATAGCTCACCTGCCTGCCTGCCTGCCTGATTGCCCCTAATCGCTTCTGCCTGCCAGCCTGATTGCCCCTAACCACTCCCCTGACAGCCTGATTGACACCTAACTGCTCCCCTGCCGGCCCTGTCGCCTCCAACTGCCCTCCTCCGCTGGCCTGATCGCCCACAACTGCCCTCTCCTGCTGGCCATCTTGTGACCACATGGGGGTGGCCATCTTGTGCGAGGGTGTGACAGTCAATTTGCATATCATCTCTTTATTATATAGGATGGTAAAATCTATCTCCTTATTTTATTGGATTCATTATGTTTAGATCTTTCTTGACATAAGCCATGCTTGACGGTCACATTCAGCCCATGTGGAGCATGAAGAGGAGACTGGAGTCCCACCTTTCCTATTGCTGATCCATGCGCGGTACATTAAGGAATGATGTTTTTTTAAATTATTATTATCATTGGGTTTGCTAAAAGACATTATACTATAAATAAGGAAGAATGGAAAAAATTGTGCTTACGATTTTGGACACAGGGTGAGATGGCGACCAATGAAATCAGTACACACAGGCCTCCGTTTACTCCCAGGAGGATTTTGTTCCCCATGCAACCATCTTTCTGTGTATAAAACACTGCCATCAAAATCAAGCCTCCAGCGGCGATGGAGTACATGATGAGGGTCACCAGGGACAGAGCGGCGTACCACAGCTTGTTGTGAGTGGTTCCTGCGGTCCTATTTGTCCAGGAAGTGGGTGAGAGGGACAGGAGAGAAGACAAGTCAGTACCGGCCACTACTGACCTACATTTACTAGTACCATTAACTAATGCTGTCCAGCCCCAAGCCCATCAGAACCGAGTTGTCCAGGAGACCTATCATTCGGCCAATGATTATGCCACATCAAAGCGAGAAGGTACAGGTAAACATGCAAAAACTTCTTGGTTCAAGCTGAGAATGTGTTCTAAATACTGAAAGAATTCTGTTTTTGACTCAAGTGTATCCATCAACTATAATGACTATCCACAGGCTTTCTGAATGTGAATTACCCTGGGACAGGTTTGGGCAGTATCATTACAAAGTGGCTCTCTGCTGGAGCTCACTTCCCGTCGCCCCTATAAACCTAGAGACTGGAGGTGCCATGGTGCTCACTCCAGCGCTGCCAGCAGCTCCTGCTGACGCCCATCTAGTCTTCAGGGAGAGGAGCGAATTAACTTCTCTCAGAGAAAGACCCGCAGCTCTGTTATCGCGCTCTGAAAGGCAGACTCTGTAATAGTTCTTCCCCACAGCAATGCTAAGTGTGATCAAGGGGAAATAGGACACTAAATGAAAGGGGAGAATAAAATCAGGTAGAAAGAGAGTAAACATTTTAAGGGGATGTACAGTGAAGAATCTAAAAGAGGAGATTAATGTGCTTTCTAGTTTACAACTATTAATAAAGGGATGGGAGACATTAGTGGTGGTTTAACAAGCTAGAGAAATTGTTCGGAACAAAGAAAAGGGCGTGCTTAAAAACGCTAAATGAGGAGGACGGAGCAACAGGAAGAATGGCTTGAATCACTGTCATCTGCCTTCGGATTACACTGCCCTTTGTAAGCACATTCTCACAAACCTTCAGAGAAAGCAACTTGCTTACAGGTTTTGCAAAACTGGAAAGTGTTCAAGCAACCCAGCTAAAATGTTTTCATGATGAAAAACTTACTGCAGCCGGAGACAAAGAAAATAGGGAGGGAAAGGCCAAAATGACGATGACCATTATATTCCTGAAACGGAGCCAGGCATTCCAGTGACCACAAAACTATTCTAACATAAAAGACACGCAAAGGAAAGGAAGAGAAAAATGAGACTCGAGAAGAGAAGAAAAAAGAAAAATCTAAGAGCCAAATAGTAATGAGTGACACACGGAGAGGATGAATTATGCAGAAAAAGGTCAGCACTGCTGACCAGTGTGTGGGTGGGGCCCAAGTGTTTCTTCACTAGCCTCTGGATTATATTCTTAATATAGGAAGGACTTTCTTACAGTTAATTTATGCTTAATTTCCAGTTTAATCTTCAACCCTAACCTCTCCTCTCAACTCGTCTCATAATATCCAACTGTTCTGCGTCCTCACTTGGAAGTCTAATCAGCACGTCCAACTTAACAGGTCCAGAGTAACTTCCCAATGTTCAGACCTCCACCCCTAAACCTGCTCTCATTTGATCTTGCCAACCTCAGAAAATGGCAAGTCCAGCCCTGACCGGTTTGGCTCAGTGGATAGAGCATCAGCCTGCGGACTCAAGGGTTCCAGGTTCGATTCCGGTCAAGGGCATGTACCTTGGTTGTGGGCACACCCCCAGTGGGGAGTGTGCAGGAGGCAGCTGATCGATGTTTCTCTCTCATCAATGTTTCTAGCTCTCTATCCCTCGCCCTTCCTCTCTGTAAAAAATCAATAAAATATATTAAAAAAAAAAAAGAAACTGGCAAGTCCATTCTACCCCTTGTGTGTATCAGTTTTGATACAGAATTGACCCTTCTATCCACAAAATTTCAGCTAGGAATTACTAAAAACAAGGCCCCAAATGAAGTGCTTTATGCTAAGACACCAAACCAAGACGCCTAATTACAGTGTGGCTTTCCCAGAAATAAGAACCTTAAACCAGTCCATCAGGAAGCACCCGGTTAGCACTATTAGGGAATCTGCCTGAGAGACCCTGCCATCCCCAGGGGAGGTGGCCCTACAGTAACCCACCCACTCTCCCTTGTGTAACTTCCTTGTTCCTGCTCCCTTCTGCTTATAATGGTCTCATTCTGCACAGCTCCTTGGAGCTCCTTTTTATCTGCTAGCCTGGATGTTAGCCAATTCAAATCAATTTTCTGCTCAAATAAACTCTGAAACGTTTTTAATATGCCTCAGTTTATCTTTTAACAAAAGAACAAAAACACACGAAACATCTAGTCCAAACACATCATTTTACAAGTGTGCAAACTAAGGTCACAGAGGCCAGGAGACCTGCCTACAGTGAAAAGCCAGAGAGCGAGGGGCTTTACAACCCGCACTCTCCTGGTTTCCAGCCATGACCTCTCTCTCCCACTGCCTGCGCGGCCTTCTCCTTCTCAACATCTTTACGAAAAGAAAGCGAAGGGGAAAGGACTTTAGTTGCTCCATGAAGAGTGACATGAGTAGTCTATTTTCTAGACTAACCTTGTAAGCAAGAGACTGTTTAAAAACAAAGCAAAAACTCTAAAAAAAAACCCCCTCTATTTTTATGTAAATGAGTTTACATAAAAATAAAAATTAGTGAGCTTCCTAGCTTAATCCTAATTTTTTAGGCAAACCATCCAACCAACTATAAATATGTTGACAAAGGGGTTTTGTTGGGATATTGGCCTCAAAGCCGGGACAACAGCAACATCATTGTTGCAAAGCTTTTAAGCCATTCTTATCGAGTGGTTTCTGGAAAGTTTTTAAAGCAACAAAACTCTTCCAAAAAGCCTGTTAGAAGTTGGCATCAATAACCAGTCCCAGAAAATGGCTTCAGCATCAATCAAAACATTAAGATCAAAGTGAAGAAGCACAAGTATTCTCAAGAGAACATAGTATTTAGTGGGCAAAGCTGGGACTCAGTATCAGAGATGTTAATTTTTTACCAGGAAGTTCCTTATTTGAAGAATATTTGTGAAAATTTTAGGAGAAATTTTGAATGACATATTCTAATAAGAAATTCAGAGTGAAAGTACAGTAAGACTTATCATGGAAAGAGTGATATGTAATCAATTAAAATACATTTCCAATTTATTGTGCACAATTAAGAAAATTAGGGTCACATAAAACTATAGTCACTCATTTGACTTATCTTTAGGAAAACTTTGCTGCCTCAAAATAAGATGGAGTAGAGACCTCAAACATAAACTACTAGGTTTCAGGGATGACTCAAAAAGCAGGACAGCATGCCTAGCTGGTTTGGCTCAGTGGATAGAGCATCGGCCTGTGGACTGAAGGGTCCTGGGTTCGATTCCAGTCAAAGGCAGTCAAAGGCACATGCTTGGGTTGCAGGCTCAATCTCCAGTGGGGGGCATGCAGGAGGCAGTCTATCAGTGATTCTCATCATTGATGTTTCTATCTCTCCCTCTCCCTTACTCTCTGAGATCAATAAAAAATATTTTTTTAATGAAAAGCAGGAAAGCATGCACAAACTTACATATGAGCACTTCTCAGAACTAGAAATTTTTCTTATCTTAGAGATTAAGACTTGAAAAATACCAAAACATATCTGTATTGCTACTTGTATGGCTATTCGATGTGCTGTCAACATTTTAGAAACTGGCCATAAGCATTTGGCCATACTCCAATATTTCCCAAATAATAAAATGATTGCCCTGGCCAGGCAGCTCAGTTGGTTAGAGTGTTAGCCCAATATGCCAAAGTTGTGGGTTTGATCCCCGTTCAGGGAACATACAAGAATCAACCAATGAATGCATAAACAAGTGGAACAACAAGTTAAAGTTTTTTTCTTTCTGTCTCTAAAATCAGTAATAAAAATTTTTAAAAAGTAGCCATGCTTTAAAAATTAAAATAATAAAATAATTAACACTATCTTTTCACTCATGCATCTCATGATTTGATCTTTTAAAAGTAGCAAAATAAAATGGCAATGAATACTACCAACCTGAGAACTATAATCAGGATGAAAAGTATTTTGAAAGAATTTAGACAGTATATTTTGTTTTGTCCAAAATAAAATTCACATTCATATAACACTTTCTAATACCCACCCCCACCTCCCCAAAAAAGTATAAAATAATCTGATCCCTACAAAATCAACAAAATAACAAAAGCCTTACTGGGTGCAAATGGCAGTAATTGTCATTCATATTTTTGTTGTTGTTGTTTTTTGTTTTTTTGTTTTTATTCTTTTTTAAAAAAATATTATAATAAGTATTACAAAGTGTCATTCATATTTTGTAAGTAAAGTAAGACAAAGAGTCTACGTGCTTTGCCGGAGTCACAAAGAGTCAACTTGGCCTTAGGACTCAGGGGGCTGGACCCTTGTCTGGCCGCCATTTCCTCAATGTAGCTCAGCAAGAATAAAAACCAGTTATTAATAGTCTGGCATTTCCCACTTATCCTGGGATATGAATTCCACTTTCAAGGCACATAGAAAGAGTCTGTGTTTTTCAAATGCAGGATGGCTTTCTAAGGTAGCACAACACATCTTCCTAACGAAGGGGTCCTTCTACACTTACGCAGTGGTGAACAAACAAAAACTTTTTTTTAAAGGAGAGAACTATTCCATCACATCTTCTTTGCAGAAAGGGAACCTCTAGCTCCAAAGTATTTTTTTTTTCTCTCCTAAGGTTGGAAACCTAAGATGAAGCCTGCCCAAGTTTTCAACACAACCACAGAACTGGGGCCAGAAAGTGCCAACCAATGGGGTTGAGTGTGGCCAAGTCACACTGTTGGTTGACTTAGAGCCCAAATGCCAGAGGGCAGGGAAAAAGAGCCAAAAGGTGAAAAGAAATGAAGTAGGAGGAAGAAAGGCAGAAAGAATCGAAAATTGTATGGGGGAGAAGTAAATGAACAAATCCAAAGAGCAAGAGAGAAGGGAGAATGCCGGCAAAAACTGTCCCTGTGGTAGGCAGGCTCTGATCCCTGCCAGTGAACTCAGAGAGAGCCTTTGTCAGCGCTGTACTGTGGGCAGCGTCTGAGTCAATGAGTGAGTTTACTTGGAAGCTTTCCATTAAGGCACATACCAGTTCTTGTTCCATTTATGTGCAAACTCCACGAGCAGGATGAGCTGGATGCCTATAAAGAGGAAGGCTCCGATGGCTCCCACATAGCGCCAGGCTGCAAAAGAAGGCCACCCAGAAGGAGGTGACACGACTGTTCCCAGTGTTTGCTCAAAAGAGAGTAATGACTACTGTCCATTTTTATTACATGCTCACTGTACCTGCAACACGTTTAATTCCCACACAAGCGTAGTCTTATTAGGCCACTTTACAGATGAGAAAAACTGACAGTCTACCTAAGGTGACAAGGTCCCTTAGCCAGTAATGGGTGTCACCGGATGTGAACACAGACAGTCTGGCTCTGGTGCATCCAAGCTTAACCTCCATGCTACAACTGCCAGGTATTCCAACAGACGTAGTAATTCATAAAGCCAACACGGCCCACAACTTAAAAGTAAAAACACACATTGCCAGAAAAATCAAGGGTTCTAATTTCATTGGATAGGGAGGCACCAGTGTCTAGGAAGGAAATGAGGCTCAGACTTGGGGACCACGGACTCAGATTCTACTTCGGGCTCTGTCACAAAGACGCCCTAACACTGGACGAGCCATGTCACATCCCTGGCTTACAGCCTGTCTATAAGAATGACTGGGCTGGACTAGAGGATGCTAGGTCCCTTCCCGTTCTAAAGATATTATTCTAACACATAATATTCTAACGTCTGTGGGGAAGAGAAAACCAGATAACAAGCATTTTAGGTAAAGATCAGACGTGGATGTAATTTCCTTAAGGAGGACATAAAATTAGTGTGATCTTGAAAAAGCTGGACCATCTTCATAGGTGACTCTTTGAGGGTCTGTAGCTGTTCCTCATGGACTGACACAATGTGAATACTTTCACCATCTTAACTAGGAAAGTGAATTCATGTGGGTTGAACAGTGCTTGAACCACTGAAATTCAGACCTCCCTAACTCATATGAATAAGGGCTATGATGAAAGGCTTCGTATTAAATTGTTTTTGGTAGTTCCATCAATAAGGAACACAATCCAGTGTTATGCAGCTTCACGTAAGGAAAGTTTAGAAATGGGCTGGGGGATGCTCTCTCATCCCATTATAGCTGCAGCAGGTTTAAAGCGCTAAGAAGCCTGTGTTCGGAGCCCTGGCTTTTCTGAGCCACACTCAGAAAGAACAAGGTCCCAGGGCCTCTTCAAACATGGCTGGAAGTGTCAGGCTGACTTACTAAACTGACCTTCACACAAATTTTAAGTGCTTCATTTTCCCTTCATGCCAAGAACCTTACAATTATCATTTTAATTCTTCAGCCTGCTGAGTAACTAAAGGTCCTCCCACAGCCTGCCAGGAGGGGAGGGAGTGGGAAGGGATAAGGAGGAGGGGAACGGAGGGGGATAGGGAGTAGGGAGAGTGGATAAAGTGTGGGCAGGTCAGGATTTTTTTTTTTTAAGCCACAAGAAAGTCAGTAATTCAAAATATCAAAGGCACCCTGGACTGTGCTTTTGACAACTTTACAAAATGGGTAAAAACGTAATGAACAGAAACTCATTTGTACCATTCAGGAAGGTCTCCTGGTCTGGAATGAAGAAAGCGCCTGAGCACATGGCCCCCAGAAGCAGGAGCTTGAAGAACCAAAAGCTAGAAAAAGAAAAAAAAAAAAGAGGAAATGTATTTAAATGATATTCAGTGAAGGACAAAAGACCTCTTAGAAGGTAAGCTCGTCCAGCCATGGTTCTGCCACTGGCACTGTGCTCTCCAAATCGAGGGGAAGTAATTAAGTGACTGGAGACCGCCTTTCCCCAACATCAGACAGACTCGGCGTGGCCTCTGATTGTGCAAAGCACCATTTTGTTGCAGGAGTGGAAGTGACCCGGGGAAAGGTCTTGGTTCAAGAAATTAACTCTTGTCTTCACCGCCTTTCTCATTATGGTACCAGTGCTACAAATAGGATCCTAGCTCTTCGGCCACTGTGCGGTGACAAGTGTTAGGTCCCACCTTCCCTAAAACCAGTGTCAGCAATTTAAGCGGGAGGGAGAGCAGTCAGAGGTCCGACGGTTACAAGTGGTCCTAGATTACGTTGTGAATAGAAGACCAGGGAAGCGAATGCTGGAGACTTGCCCATTGTGAATGTAGGCTCTGCAGCTTTTGCTGTTGTTGATATTTAAGGTCAGGAGGCAGAAGATAAAGAAGAAACAGGCCATCCCAAAGCAGACTCTATACACCGCAGAATACCCCACCAGCTTCTCACAGGTGTCACCAGCTTTAATGCCTTTACAAACGTCTTCGTAAAAAGGAATCTGAGGAAAAAGAGAAAAGAGTCACCTGTTAGAACTGGGTAAAGGGGCTATTGTGAAGTGCTGCTTCCGCCTACACGTCCAAGTCCCGTGTGGAAATGCACAGACACTGGGAAGAAGGCCCTCGTCCAAAGGCTTTTTCTTAGTTTCCTCTGAGTCTTTTTTAAAGATTCAGTGCTCATGATGTACCACTCAGCCTTTACTTCCCCAAATGAATGGAAATCCAGCATCAGAATTTTTAATACATGGATATATTTTTCTTGAAATGCATAAATGTATAGCAAAAAAGTGAGAGACTTCTTTCATTCCCACCCCAAAATGTCCTCTCCTCAGGAGAGTTAACAATTTGGTGAATATTTTTATTAGTTTACATACATAAATGTGTGTGTACATATGTATGTATATATACCCCATACTTATACACAGCACACATACATACATACATACATACACTATATAGTACCATATACATTTCTCTCTCTCTCTCTCTCTCTCTCTCTCTCTCTCACACACACACACACACAGAAACAGCTTTATTAAGTAAAAGAGTATATATATTATTCTGTAACTTTTTTTCCCTAATTAACAATAAGCTGTGGAGATCTTTCCCTATCCTATCTAATAAAAGACAAAAAGGGTAATTGACCATACCTTCGCTACGCTTCCCATTGGCTAATCAGTGCCATATGCAAATTATGCATACTGCAGGCAGGGCTGGCCAGCGCCAGACGCCATCCGGGCCCCATGTGCGGCCCTGGGCGGCCGGGCTTAGGCGGGGCGATCGCGTCACCTAAGCCCCGCCCCCAGCCGGGACCCCGGTGTGCCGCCTAAGCCCCACACCGCTTAGGCCCCGCCCCTGCCGGGACCCCATGGCGATCCCACAGCAGGCAAGTGCGGAGGGCAGCCTGCCCCCAGGTGGGCCTGCTCCTGGGATTGCCATGGCGATCCCAGAGCAGGAAAGTTCCCCACAGGCCGCACCCAGCAGGGCCTGCCCCCGGTCTCTGCAGTGATCCGGTGATCCATGAGCAGGAAAGCGCAGCCTGCAGGTAGCACCCCACCCTGGCCACAGCTCAAGGGAGAGAAAAACACGCAGTGGAGGCCAGGAGCCTGAGAGATCAACACAGAGGGGCGCCTGCTCCGAGCCTCCACGGTGTGGCTGGGGGCAGGCCCCCAGCGGACACACACACACACACACACACACACACACACACAGGACGCCTGCTCTGAGCCTCTGCTGCCAGACTGTGGCTGTCAGTAGGACATCTGGACTGTGAGAGGGGCAGGCTGGGCTGAGGGAACCCCACCCCCCAGTGCACGAATTTCGTGCTCTGGGCCTCTACTTAATACATACAAGCACACCTTTTTAACCACCATATTATCTTTTAAAGTAAGGCTAGATTAAAACTGATAAGCATTCCCACACTGATCATGGTGGGACAGGCTCTTGTTTTGCTATCACAAACACTGGTTCAATAACACTGCTGCGCATGCCTCATGGCACACGTGCCATTATTTATGTAAAATAGACTCCAGATCCACAAATAGAATCAGTGAGTCAAGTAGTATCTACATTTTAAATTTTGAAGAGATAAAGTGAAATCATACTTTCAAAGTCTGCACCAGTTTATATCCCACCAGAACTATCTGAGCCTGCTCAGGTTACCAACCTGAACACCCAATTTAAAGGGAAAAAAAACAGCCCTAGGCGGTGTGGCTCAGTGGATAGAGTGTCAGCCTGCAGACTGAAGAGTTCCAGGTTCAATTCTGGTCAGGGGCACATGCTCGGATTACGGGCTGGGTCCCCAGTAGGGGGCATGGCGTGTAGGGGGCGGCCGATCAATGATTCTCTCTCATCATTGATGTTTCTGTATCTCTTTCCCTCTCCCTTGCTCTCTGAAATCAGTAAAAATCTATTTTATAAAATAAAATAAATGTAAAAAACACTATCCTGTCTCAATGTCCATTTTCCTCATTACTAGTAAGGTTCACTTTTTTTTTTTCATAAATTTATGGCCATCTGTATTTTTCTTTGTGAATTGGCTGTTAAGTTTTTTCCTGATCCACTGGAGCTATTTATGCATATTAATCTTCTGATGAATGTTGGCAATGGTTGATTCTAGCCCCATTAGAAGGTTTCAAAGTAAAACCTGTTTATATTATCAGAACTGAAATCTTATATAACGAGAACAAGAAGTAAATTTCTATGAACATAGAACATTAAGGATTTAGTCAGTGATTTAAAAAACGTATTTATCAACATCAAAGCTGAACACTCTTCAGAACAGAAAAAAAGTTGAAAACACAGTATAGCTGTAATTCACAAGACAAAAGATAACACAGAGGGAAAAAAATGACACAAGCTGGAGATAAAATTGAAGCATGATAATTTAGTTTCTTCTCCAGGAAAGATCTTAAAGAAACACTAATAACTGCGGCTATTAAGATTCCCATAAACAAAAGGAAGACTAAACTTAATTGGAGGTCATCTTCCTGACTGGATTCCCTCACCTCAGAAAAGGCCTGTAGCCATGACTATACCTGAATCTCAAACACGTTTTTCCTAAACAAAACATATTTTTCAAAACTACTGCCTCAGGCAAAAATGCACGAAAGATTTCATAAAGAAATATCAAACGTTTTGTAGTCAGCAATTTTTTTTTTAGATCAGGGCAAGATGTAAATGCATAAAAAGACACTACTGTATTTTTTACCAGGCTATCAAACAAAGTAGCACACATATAGGGTTGCCAGAATGCCTAGGTAAATTTAAATTCCAGATAAATAATGACTGATTGTTTTATTTGTACAGCATTTATTGCTGTGTAATATTCATTCAAATCTTTTCTTCCCTCCTTCTCTCTTCCACTCTCTCAGCAAAGCTAATTTCTCACACACACCTCAACCACCTGCAACACTTTCATCTACACCAGCCCATCTTTCAACTCCGGCTCTTCTCCACCTCCTGCCTCAAACCAACTTCTCTCCTTCTTCTAAAATCCATTTTAAGAAGCATGCTAATGCCAGGAGGCATGAGCTCCTATCCAATCATCCCCCACAAATGCCCTCCCGTGTTGATTCCCAGAGGCCCTAAGGCTAATCAAAGGGTGAGTATGTGGCATGGCACATTTCATCCAAAATAAAAGTAGGTAAACAACCCCCTGCTCCAAATACTAAGGCCTGCTTTATGCTCTGTGGGTGACTCAGTCATTTAGCTTTCAGTAAGTAGTGAGAATTTTTAAGCAAAGAACCTCGAGTTGAACAAGCTGGCAGGATTTAGCAAGGGGAATTTGCTCTGATTAAATATTTGCTGTTCCAAACTCCATCCCAGTTTTGGAAGAAGAAAACATACATCACACACAGATTCCACACCATGGGGTGAGGGAGCTGGGCCTGCTAAGGGTGTTGCCTCTGGGCATCCAAGGACACTGCATCTGTGTTGTTTCTGTACAGACGTGAGGGCCAGTGGCTTCCTCCCAACCCTAAAGGCAATCAAACTGAAAGCCACAGATTACCAGCAAGAATAAACAGCTCACTTCCAACCCTAACTCCACCACTAACTTGGGCAAATTACACACCTTCCTGAGCCTCAATGTCCCTTCTCATACTATGAAATACTACTGCCACCCTGTATATCTGAAACTAATCTATAATAATAAAAGCGTGATATGCTAATTAGACCGGACAGCCGGACGACCTTCCAATGTCCTTGTGGACAACCTTCCAGATGAATCCGCGGCTGCGAGGGCCAAGCCCCTTGCACGAATTTCGTCCATCGGGCCTCTAGTATAAAATAATATCGAATGCTAACTGTAATTGAAAAATAAAATATTTTAAAGAAAGAATACTGCCACCCACCTCATGAAGTTGCCCTGAGAATTAAATCAGTTAATCTCTGGAAAGTCCTTGCCATAGTTCCTAATCCATAAAACCCATTAAGTAAACTTTCTTAATTCTTATCTTTTTTGTAAAAAGAACTTGGAGGAGGGAATCAGGCACCTGACATGAACCACTGACTGACTGGTTGATACATTCAGATTTACACATGGCGGGAAATGAGCATCTCAGAACTCCACAGATGCTCTCTTCACTTCCCAAAGGATTCATATTGAAAGATACAGTATTCACATACTTGTCTTTTGAAGACCTAGTCACCACCCAAATCATGGAAGAGATGTTCAAAACATCAACACAAGAATTAAATTCAGCCGGCCAGTGTGGATCAGTGGTTGAGTGTTGACCTATGAACCAGGAGGTCATGGTTCAAGTCAGGGCACATGCCTGGGTTTTGGGCTCCATCCCCAATGGAGAACGTGCATGAGGCAACTGATCAATGATTCTTTCTCATCATTGATATTTCTATCTCTCCCTCTCCCTTCCCTCAGAAATCAATAAAAATGTATTATTATTGCCCTAACCGGTTTGGCTCAGTGGATAGATCGTCGACCAGTGGACTGAAAGGTCCCAGATTCGATTCCAGTCAAGGGCATGTACCTTGGTTTCGGGCACATCCCTAGTAGGAGGTGTGCAAGAAGCAGCTGATCGATGTTTCTCTCTCATCAATGTTTCTAACTCTCTATCCCTCTCTCTTCCTCTCTGTAAAAAATCAATAAAATATATTTTTTAAATGTATTATTATTTTTAAAGAATTAAATTCAAAAGGATGGGAATAGGAGAAAATCCACATAATTTGTGCACATAGGAGAAATTAGAGTTAGGCCCCATAACCAACTTTTATCTCAGGCAAATAAATATGGAAATGGAGAAGAGGAAGATGACAATCATGTTCCCATAATATCAAAGTATAATTTGGGAGAGATGAGAATATGGCATATTAACAAAGTCAACAATTCTTACATTCCATATCAAATTTTTAGGGCACTGAATGAAACTAAGATGCAAAGAAAGCTTTGGGCAGCTCAAACCCCCAAAAGATTAGACTTGACCATTACCTTTAACCTCATGATTCTGAGGGCCCCCGATTCTAGTACTGAGGACCAGAACAT